TGGTAGACTCAGTCCAGGGAGGTCCAGTCCCTTCCTCCCAGACTAAGCCAAGTGTCCCTGCATAAGTTCCTGGTTTCAAACAGCCAACTCATGGAATGAGCACAGGACTTGGTCCCACTGCCTAGATGCCTCCCAAACTGATCAAGCCAATCAACTGTCTCACCTATTCAGAGGGCCTGATCCAGCTGGGAGCCCGAGAGGCCACTTTTAAAGGTTATGTTTACTAGAAAGAATGGGAATAAACAGGTAAAAGAACAGAATGATCTCAAAAATTGTGGAAGTTTCCAAGAATCTGGACTAGATCATCAGTCTCTTCCTGTCCTTTTTCCTTGAGACAGGATCTTACTATGCAGACCAGGCTGCTCTGGAGCTCACAGAGATCCGCCTACCTCTGCCTCTGGAGAGTTGGGATTCAAGGCGTGCGCCACTACCGTGCAACTTAACATTGTTTTTTGTTTTGTTTTGTTTTTCTAGACAGGGATTCTCTGTGTAGTCCTGGCTGTCCTGGAACTCGCTTTGTAGACCAGGCCTCAAACTCACAGAGATCTGCGTGCCTCTGCCCTCTGAGTGCTGGGACTAAAAAGAGTTCTTTACTGACTACCCAGTGCTAAAGACTACATTTAACGTCTGCTTTCTTTCATTAGTCTTCATGATTAGTCTACGGGTGAAGGAAATGAAGTTTTCTTTGAAAATGAATTTTTGTTTTGTTGAGACAAGGTCTCTCTACGTAGCCCTGGCTATCCTGGAACTCACTATGTAGACCAGGCTGGTTGGTATCAAACTCATAGAGATCATCTTGCCTCTATTGAGATTAAAGATATATACCACTCACCATGCCCAGCTCTTGAATATACATCTTGAAGAGAAATATATTTTAACTCTTCATATCCAAAATTATAATTTTTAATAACCACTAATCTGAATAGTTTATATTTTGGCCTGATGTATTTGAACCCAGAATGAGTTTGCCTAGAGTTACCTGAGTCAAGAGAGTGCCCAGAGATATAGTTTAATAAAATGACTAAATGATGATAGGCTGTAGTGGAAATTTTGTGGACCAAAGGAATTATAATCTTTTTTTTTTTTAAGATTTATTTATTTATTATGTATACAGTATATGTGACTGCAGGCCAGAAGAGGGCACCAGATCTCATTACAGATGGTTGTGAGCCACCATGTGGTTGCTGGGAATTGAACTCAGGACCTCTGGAAGAGTAGTCAGTGCTCTTAACCTCTGAGCCATCTCTCCAGCCCCCAGAATTATAATCTTAGTAATCCGGTCTATACCTGCTTCCATACAGGACTATGTGAGCCTGAAAAGTATTTCTTCCTTTGGCGAAGTGGCTTCTCTCCAATGCCCTCTGAAATTACATACTCTGAACTTAAGTGTCCTGTCTGTGAATCTCTAGTTCAGTTGTTCTCAACCTTCCTAATGCTGTGACTCTTTAATACAGTTCCTCATGTTGTGATGACCCCTAACCATAAAATTATTTTCATTGCTGTTGCGTAATTGTAATTTTACTGCTGTTATTAATCATAATGTAAATATCTGATATGCGGGCTATCTGATATGCAACCCCTGTGGAATGAATGGTTCTACTCCCAGAGGGGTCATGACCCACAGTTGAGAACCACTGCTCTGGTTGAAAATACAGGCTTTCAGAGATTCTGACTCTACTTCAGCAATAATGGGAAGATCTCTTGAGACTACCAAGGACTTGGAAAGAGAAGGAGAAAGTGGTCACATGCCCTTGATCTCAGTCCTGAAAGCTGGGTTTGTAACACTAATAGGATTCTCCTACATTGTTGTCCACACTCACTTGTGTTCTCAGTAGCCTACCAGGTTAGGTCTGCTGTGCAAATGTATGTTGAATAAATGTAGACACTCTTTATTCTCCAATGATGTAGAGAATTTTTCCTCCAGATATGTTTAGTGGCTGCGCAATCCTACTGTTATCTTCCATGGCAACTCGTATTATCCTCATTACCATTCAGTCCCACATTAAGTTTTGTACTGACCCAGATGCTTCTGTATGTGAAACAAATTACTCAAACCTTGAAAAATCTTTCTTAGATGTTGTTTAAATCTAATATTTGGGAATCTCATGTCAGATTGTGTGTCTATGTTAAGGTTTTTTTTGTTTTGTTTTGGTTTTGATTTTTTGAGACAGGGTTTCTCTGTGTAGCTTTGGAGCCTGTCCTGGAACTCTCTCTGTAGCCCAGGCTGGCCTCGAACTCACAGAGATTTGTCTGCCTCTGCCTCACAGGTGCTGGGATTAAAGGTGTGTGCCACCACTGCCCAATCCAGTTTTGCTCTCTTAAATTGGCTTTGCTGTTATTTTCTTTTTAAATTATTTATTTTATTTTGTGTGCATTGGTGTTTTGCTTGCATATATGTGTAAGGGTGTCAGATCTTGGAGTTACAGACAGTTGTTAGCTGCATATGGGTCCTGGGAATTGAACCCAGGTCTTCTGGAAGAGCAGTCAGTGCTCTCAACTGCTGTCTCTCCAACCCCAAATTTACTTTTCTTGTAAAGCATTAAGAGAAAACCTCTTCAATAATAAGGGTTGGTGTGTGTGTGTGTGTGTGTGTATGTGTGTGTGTGTGTGTGTGTGTGTGTGTGTGTATGGGGGTGTCAGTGGATAATAGTGTTCCATCTGTAATCATGAAGATGTGAGTTTGAATCCTCAGCACCCATATAAAAACCCAGGCATGGCTACACTTGCTTATAACCCCAGCATTGAGGGTATGGAAGTGGGGACAGGGAATGGGACAGGAGGATGCTGGGAGCTCACTGGTTAGCCAGCCTAGCCAAAACAGGAAGCTTCTGGTTCAGTGAGAAACCTAGTCTGGAGGCAGAAAGGCAGAGATTGATGGAGGAAAACTCCAAATGTCCTGCTCTGGCTTCCACATCTCACACACACAGGAGCACCCACCCACACAGTCATGTGTGCACCATACACACATGCACAGAAATCCATCATTAATGGCTGGTGCTTAGAGAACATCTTGGGGTTTGTGAGGTGGCTATTTAGAACAGTATTTCATTTATTCCTGCAATTCCAGGAGTAGGTAGAATCATTGCTGTATCTGCTGTAGAAACTAAGAAATGAAGAGGCTGAGCTACTGCTCAGGACCTAATTTCTATGAAGCAGACGTCAAACGTTCCAGCACTGGAAGGCCAAGGCAGGAGGATTTCGAATTCCAGGCCAGCCTGGGCTACATAGTGAGATCCTGTTTGGGAAAAGAAAAAAACAAAACAAAACAAACTCTTATGTCTTTTCCACAATGCCATACTTCCTGTAACTTTTCTTCTTTGTTTCCTTCTGTCATGACTTGTAGTCACCCACAAATGGGTCGAGAGTCCGACCTCTATTCTATAAGGTCCCGTCAACCTAATAGTAGTTCCTGGCACCTAGTGTCGCCATGACGACTGTTGTCAAAGTTGGAAAATAACCCAGTGAAATCCTTGAGGCACTGCTGCCATCTGGGTGTTTTGGAGTATGCTGTCTACTCTTTATTTTCAAATGAGCTAATTAGTGTGTGGTGTCTGCATCTGAAGCAGGCAGCCAGCAACTCATAGGAACAGGCCTCAGCTAGAAGAGAGGTGTTTTTGTTTTCTCAGCCAGCCAGCTGTGGTGCAGGACATGGAGTTTCCTCTTGGGACAGTCATCTTTCTTTTGCTCAGGCACCCCTAGGTCTTAGGTTATGCGGAGGTCACTGCATCTACAACTCTGAAGAACTGAGTTTCTGTGGCAGTAACCAAAGCCTCACCAGGTGGGCCCCCTACCTCCTTAGAAAATCCGTCTGGAGCCCAAACTGATCACCTTTACCTTGGATTCCTGCCATGCCTCTGGCAAGGGACGTTCACCACTTTTTTTCTCAGGATTTCCCCTCTGGTAACTTTGCAGTTGGCAGCAACTGCTTTTCATTTTTGACTGAAATTCTAGTCTAAATAGTCCCTGCTCCAACCACCTCCCATTCCGTTCCCAAACAGCCGGGACCAGACACTGGGGTATCTCCTTACTGTCAGCTCAGACTTGAACTTGGGAAATTTCAGGACATTCCGTTTCCTTGGCACATAGCTTTTATAATTCTGCTGTATAAGATTCTTTGCTGCTGAATAGAAATGGTGTAAGATAACACAGAGGAAAAATAATGAAAATAGTACAGAATGTGGTGGTGCATGCCTGTAATCCCAGCACTCGGGGATACTGAGGCAGGAGGATTGTTGTGAATGAGAGACAAGTCTGGACTACATTAGCCATATTAAGGAGCTCAAGGCTTTGCTGGGATGCATATAGAAACCCTGTTTCAAATAACCAAAAAAGAAAATAAGAAAAAAACCTTACATGAATGTCTATATGATTTTACTATTTACAAAATGATTTTATGCTTATTATCTTGGTTTCTTCCTCTTTGTAACTAGAAGGTGGGCTAACAGAATGGTTGATGGACATACACTCCTTCGATAGTGCTTCAGTTCCTAGTCTGTCAAGTCTACACTACTTGTTGCATAGGCTTGTGACAAGTCAGGTAAATACATAATGAGCATTTAGGGTAGGGTGTAGCAAAAGTAATTTTTTATTGGTCACTGTGACACACTCTATAGCCCCAACTATTCAGAAGGCTGAGGCAAGAAGATCGCTTGAGCTCAGTAGCTCTGGGCCTGTACTAGATGGTTTTGTGTGTCAATTTGACACACACTATAGAGTCACCAGAGGAAGGAGCCTTAGCTGAGGAAAGGCCTCCTGGAGATCCAGCTGTAAGGCATTTTCTTTTTTTTTTTTTTTTTTT